TGAAAATACAACAATGGTGACAATAATAATTCAAAGTTCATGGTGAGGTTGAAGTTGATCAATTTGATATTAGAAAATCTGAAAGCAAGATGAGGATGATAAAGGATAATGAAGATAAAGATGAAGATGCAGGAAAGTTAATTTATAAGTCAATGGAGAGAGAGAGAGAGAGAGACTTTTTTTCGAGGTGTTGACAATAAGTCGATGTGACTGGTTAACATTTTCATATTAAAGGGAAAACAGTGAATGTAAAGGTTGGTCACACTGGGAGGGAATCGTGAATCAAATACAATCCCTCCTGGGATGAAATTGGCCTTCGACTACATATCTACATGAACAACATGTAGATATCAACATTGATGCTCATTTTTTTCCTCCACCATCATACCCTCTCTCTTTCTCACTCTCTCACCTCCACCCACTTCCACAATAACAATCAACTTCAACCCTGAAAATCAACATGCACCTTGTCAGATGATTGTGTTGCCTTCAAGCATTTATATTAGACTATTGTATCATCCTTATTATCCTCATCTTTCATCTTCATCATGATAATATTAATCACACTTTTAGGCCCCTTAGTTAAAATATACATTTATTATCATCTCCTGCTGATAGTATTCAATATGAATGAAAAAAAAAGTTTTGAATGAAAATTTTGTTTACTTTTTTTTACTATTCACTCAACTTTTTCTGTTCATTTGATTAACTGTAAATTTCATAATGAACAATTAAAATGAGTATAAACGATCAAGCAAATTAATTGAATTAAGAGAACTTTTTTTTCACTTGATCAACACTATGAAATAGGTTAAATTGTTATTGATTACTGATTAATTATTGATTTAGATGATAATGTTTACTGACTTTGGTGTATTTGGTTTACGTGATTTCCAGTTGATTGTTAAGTTAATTGTTAATTGTTGATGGGGAAAAACGGTTTTTTACTCAAAATTGGATTAAGATTATCATTATCACCATGATGAAGGTTATTTATTAAAAGGTAAATGATGATAATGATGATGATGATTAACCTCTTCCACCTCCCCCCAACTCTTTGTTGTTTTCCTATTGTTGATAATTTTTTTATACTCTAACAAACGTTATCATCTTAATCCAATGGTTAATCCTAATGTAATCCTCTTTGAGTATTATCTTTTGAGTACTTTGGAATCAGTTAGTTTGTTTTTTAATTCCTCCGCTGATTGTTGATGATAAATAAACCATCTTAGTATTGGAAACCCGATTAGATATATTCAGTTTGATAATCGACTCTCACTTATTAATACAATAACATCCCGACAATGATTAACAAATAGCCAATAATTGCTATTAAATAACCTTTTCGAACTTGATAATAAAAATGTTCTAACCTTTGATTGTAAAAATTTCATTCGAAAATGTGAACATCATTTTGTATGCATTTTCTAGAAGGTAATATACAAGGTGACCCTAAGTGTCTCTGGTTAACTTTGACATCTCAAGTCCAGAGTTTCTTTGATCTAATTGGAAAGACAAAAAAAAGTTTCTCATCAATTTTTTTTTTCTTCTGCTTATTTATCATCCAAATAATCATCTCTTTCTCATCATCTCTCACCTTTATCCTCATCCCAATGACAACTTAATTGAACCTTGAGGTTGAAGGGTAATCATAATGATAATAACGTTTGTATTATTGTTGACAAATGCATTGTCAATGTATTTTTAAGCTTGAATTGAGATAACTTCACAGTCTCGAGGGAAAAAGTAACAACAAACCCAAAATAATGAGAGATGACAATTTCCTCATCATCTTGTTCATCATCATCATAAGCATCCCCTCCACCAGTATCATCATTTGATGATGATCAAGATGATGTTTTTATAGAGATGAAATTGATGATGAACAATAATCATAACGGTAAATATGATTTACTATTATGATCAATTGTGATTTGTATATTTCTCTTTACATGGTAACCAATTATTTCCCGATAAATTAATCAATTGATTCATGTTTTGTTATTTTTTTCATCAACGATTGTTGTTAACATGAGACCATTAATATATTCTGAATGATTATGATGATAATATTTCCATGATGATATTGTTAGTTTAATGATGCTTATCTTTAGTGAATCCTTTGATTTTTTTTTCGTCTTCTCATCTCCATGAAAATAGTTACAATGTTTAACCAGAAGAAGAAAAAATTTCTTATATATTTCATTGATTTTCATGATGGTGGAAAATTTGATTTTACTTTTTTTTTACCTTTCAAACAAAATGTAATCATTTCCACTCTCATTTCAAATGTATCAATACAATTTTATCATCATCATCATATTAAGCTGAAAATTTTTCAACCAAAATAAACAAAACATTTCAGTTCTTCATGAAAATGGAAACAGAAATAAAAGGAAAACATTGATTCAGTTTAGATTCAGAATCATGAAGATGAAACTGAGACTCTTGAAGATTTTTTCTCTCTTCTCCTTGATCAGAAAATAGAAGAATAAGAAGAAAGAAAGAAAGAAAGAAAGAAAGAAAGAGAGAGAGAGATATTAAGATGAGAAAGTGGGTGAAGATGATGAAAAAAGAGAAAAAGAAAAAAAATCATTGAACAAATTTACTCCTTGATTATATCTTCTTATGAGTTCTGAACAAGAGATTGAACTGATTGTTCAGTGAGATGATGAAGTTGATGATCAGAAAGATGAAGGTGGGAGTGGGGGTGGAGTGGTAAAAGATGATAATGAAGACATGATGATGATGATATTAATACGAAACCTATAAGGTAAATGGAATCAAATAAAACCCTATATAAAAGTTTCTGATTCAGTTCTGATGGAGGTTGGGATTAGGTGGAAAAAGAAGATGATGATGATGAGAAAGATGAAGATAAGCTCGTCTCTTTTTCCTCTTTCCAACTGTATCATTTGTCCAAGAGGAAGAAGAAAAAATATCGATCATCTTGTTGTTTTTTTCTCTCTCTTTTGTTTTCTCTCATCTAATCGATAACATAAACATTGTGTATCAATCTATGGATGATGTTGATCATCATCATCATCTTCAGGTGGAGATTGATAGTGATGATGATACACAGAATCATGATTCATGTTGATAACCATAATAATTGTCAATCGATTGCAAATGTAATTAAAATTGTCATCAACTATTCACCAATCATTGGAAATGATGATTAACATTTTTGGATTGTAATTTGCTTAAATAAAGTTTTGTTAATTAGCCCAAATTTGTATAAATGTTTGGGAAAATTGTGACAATCAGTTGTGATTAATAATTGTAACAATTAATTATTACTTATCATCTCAGGAGTTTTATTGTTTTCTTAGTTAAATTTAGTAGATTTAATTTTTTTTTTCAATTCATTTTCATTCAAAATTTATGGTTTTAGTTGAACAATTGAATATTTTATTATCATCACATGGGAGTTAATTGTTGTGGTTGATTATTAATTGAACTTTTTTGTTCTTGAAACTTTTTATCATTACTTAATGGTGATTAGGATTGCAGGGAAAGTTCTGGTTCTAAGATGGTAAGAAAAAAGTTCCAGTCTCGTTAACCATTTTGTCATTATTTCAATTTGAAATTCTCATGAGATCTTCATCATGATGGTGACAATTTCTATTTACATTCACAAACTGATTGTTGTTGTTGTTTTCCTAATCAAAATTAATTGTTTCAACACGAAATTAACGTTATCTTCATGGTGATAATGATGATGATACTTTGGATGCGGATAAGGAAATGATGATGATCATCATGATAGAATGGATTGAGAATTGATGAAAGGAGAAATAATTTGAAACGGAAAAGAAAATGTTGAATAACAAGAAGGGAAGATAAATGAATCTTTATGAAGATTAAAGATTAAGATGAAGACAAAATTGTTCACTTTTTAATCTTTGTTCCGTTTCCATAGAGACCTAAGACCTAATCGAGAGAAAGAGAGAGATGATCTTAATCCATTACAGATGATGAAGATTATGGATAAGACTATAAATCAAAGTTGAAGATGATGATGATGATGATGATGGAGATAGAGAATGATAATGATTGGAATGTAATTCAGTGAATCTTAAATTCTGAGGTTGAATTGTTTTCTCAATTATCTGTGTGTCTTTTTTTTCATGGAAAAAATTTTTTTTTCACTTTATCCTTATAATTATGGTTCTCGTCATGATCTAAGTTTGGATGATTAAGATGATTATCATGAAAAAATCATCATTGTCAATCTTCACCTTCATCACTTACCTTTTGATAATCATCATGAAATTCATGAGTTTTATCATGATCATCATCTTAAGACTCAATGAATCCTAATGGTTACTTGAGATTGAAGATGAAAAAAAAAGGTTTATCTTCACAATTTTTTTTTTCTTCGTCTTTTTTTCCTCATCATTATAATCCTTACCTTTGTAATAATGATGAATCACGTCTTCATGATCATCATCATGATCATCAGCATCACCATGAAAACCGTTATAATCAGATTGATGATCAGGCCGATTCCATGATAATCACCGATGGAGCTGAAAAATTTTCATTTGGATATTTTTTTCTGCTTCTCAAAAGTTTGATTATCATTAACGATTAATCATTTTCCATTGATTGTTGTCATTTAAAAATAAACAATCAATCATTAAATTGTTATCTACAAATGATTAACCTTCCGGAAGGTTAACTGAAACCAAACAATTAACAAGATAAAAAAGATTCCAATGTTAATTGTTAATACGGAATCTCAATTGTAAACAAATCACCGAGCAAATTGATTTGTTTACATCGATAACAATTTAACTAAATTAAAGTAAATTGAATCGAGTTTGATTTGAATTGTTTTTCTTTGTTTTTTTTAATTAAATTGGTTCCTGCATATCACATCTTCATCATCACTAATTATAATATAAAAAACCATCATCATGTTAATAATATTTAAGTTAATTTCATCTCTTAATTGTTACTAATCAGCAAAGAATTAAAAATCAAATTAAATGATATAAGAAAAGAAACAAATAAATCAAACATATAATCATAAATATATAAACAAAATATAATCAAAAGAGTTGAATTGTGACAATTAAGAGATAAACGTTTCAAAATGATAAATAAAAAAATCAAATATCAAAGCATCGTTTCCGTTTCCGTTTTTGTTTTCTCACCAAAAAAAGTTGATAAACTTTCAAAATAATATATAAATTTTTGACTTTCTCTCTTTCTCTCTTATTTGAAAGGGTTGATTTACTTAATTATAATTTGGTTGATGATGATTATGACATAGTAATAATATTAATTGGTAATAATAATAATAATAATAATAGTTAATTAAATTGTGATATATTATTATTATCATTTAGTTGATTATGTTTGAATTGATTGACTTTTTTTTTATATATTGTTGATTGTAAGTTGGATTAAAATTGAAATATGATTTGATTGTTTTTTGGTTTTCTTTTGACGTGTTAAATTGTTGTTGATTTGGTTTTGTTTAAGTTGATTAATCTTATTAATTAATCTCCTTTCTCTCTGTTTCTCTTAATCTCTACCCTGTGTAACTGTTTATTGAATTTGGTGTTTTTGCTGGATTGTAATAATTGTTACCAGTATTTTGGAAGGTACCATTCAGGCCGGAAGTTGGTGTTTCTCCGAAACAGGAAACACCTTGAGCGGTTGCAGTTAACGGGCCAACAGAGTTACCAAAGCTGTTCCAAAATCCTTGCGATTGAAGTGGAGCTGCGATTTTAGCCCAATTGGTATAAGAAGAGCAGCCTGTGTAAAGGGCAGCAGCTTCCTCGAAAGATGAATGTAATAGTCCGTTAAACTGTGACCCAAGGCTATTTTTTACATCTACGACTACATGACGTTCACGTTTCCGCCATTTGGCTCGACGATTTTTGAACCAAATCTGAAAGAGAGACAAATTATGAGATTATCGGATTAGGAATACATGTAACTCTTTTTTTTTTGGATTCACTTGATTATCTTACTCTGATTCTGGGCTCAGTTAGATTGGTCCACATTGCGATTTCCTCTCGAGTTGACATATCCGGATATCGATTCCTATTAAAAACTGTCTCTAACTCTTGTAACTGTTGACTAGTAAAATGAGTTCGCTGTCGTCGAGTCCGTTTCTTTGTCTTCGAGTCTTCACCATCCGTTTCCTCGCTATCATTTCCGGTTATACTTGATATCTGGGTGGGTTTATTATCCATTCCATCACCACTATCTAAATATATTCAATCACAATTAAACAGAATCAAATTAACTATAAAAATTTAGGTTGAAACAATTAACATCTTATAGCAACTTCATTAAGTTTTCCAAAGTATTATATTAACTTTTACATTGGAAATCAATCTTGGAAAAATTTTCTTCTTTTTTTCTCTGTCAACAATTAACGAGATGTTGATTGTTCTAATTAGGATGATGATGATGATCATCATCATCATCAATCCTTAACAAGGTAATAATCAACTTGTTAACTGGTTTTCCGTTATCATGATTAACTAATGATGAGCTTACCCTTTGAGGTTTCTGATAAAATTTAATCAACTTTCAGGCTCTTCAAATTTTTACCTTGTATCTTATTGAGTTAATTGTTGCTTGAGCAATTGATTAATCTTATTTCCTGTGAGTAAATTGTTGGTCAGAGTAAATTGATTTCTAACTGGTTAGTTAATTGTTGATTGTATGTGATATGAACACAATCAATTTGTGTATTCATACGTGTATTTGTATTATTGAGTATCTGGTTATAAGGATTAAGAGGGAAAATTATTATAAACAAGTAAATCAGAAGCAATTAAAACAATATTAATGATGATTTTAATCAACCAATAAATTGTTAATAATTGTTAATGATGTTATTTGTTTAATTGTGATTGGTTGACAAAGATTATAATCAGTGTAATCTTATTACAAGGATTAACTTGGATTAACTCTTAACTTTCAAGAGGGTAACTTGAAAAGCTTAATCAAGGAAAAGGTTTGATGTACAATTAACAATTTGATTAAATCTAATTAACAATTATCATCATTTAGCTAATTGTATAACTAAAACTACGATCAATGATTGACAATTAAATGTTAAACATTCAATGATTTGATAGGTGAAAAACAATCAAGAGAATCAGTAATCAGAAGCAAATTGTTGCAAGAATAATTTATCACCATGGTAACTGGTTTATAATTGATAACAATTATATATAGAAACAATTAACTAATCATCCTCAAATTTTAGAGTTTAAATTAAAATCACTAATTACAGAACTGAATTAATCAGTGATAGATTGAAATTGTAATGCTAATCGAGAGTTAAACTTGTGTTGAGAGTTTTTTTTTCATGTTGATTAACATGAAAAGTTGATTGATTTGATAATTACAACAATTAAATCAATAATTACATGTTGTTGTTATTATTTGTTAGTTGATTGTGTTGATTATTAAGTTAATTGTCGGTTTCTTTATCACTCTCCCTGTGAACATGAAACACTTAACTCAATTGAAGTGCCAACATGATCATCATTGATTATCAACAATTGATTGTGATTGTTGATCAACAATTCAAATTCATTTAATATAAGGTAGACATTTACAATTAGTTAAATTGTCTAGAGTGGTAAATACTTGATTAACTAATCCTGTAAGGGATTAATAAATACAACCTGTCATAAAAAAGTAATTAATTAATTAACTGTATTACTTTTCGCTTTCCTTTTTCAACTAATCAATCGTTAATCAATTGATTAATTTGAAACTTCCGAAATAGTTAAATTAATATTGGTAAGAGCAGCAAACAATTAATCACAATTAGCTTATTGATTCATCATTTAATTTTAGATTGTTAATCAATTGCAATCCTTAAATATTCATCGATATAAATTAACTTTCCATCTAAACATTTAGAGCAATTAAAAGTTGATTGATTTGATTGCGCTTTCCTTTGATTAGTAGTGTTAGTTAATTGTTGTTGGCGGTTAAATTGTTAATTATCAATACGTATTGACTCATTGACTATTTTTTTATGCTGATCAAAGTAATCAAGTAAATTTAAGTTAATTGTATAATGACATTGATTAATTGTCTCTTGTGGTTGATAGTTTTCACTTACAATCAACTAATTGTAACAAGATAATCACATTGGTCATCACCATTGATGGTGGTCAATTTTTGTCCAGCTATTAGCTGATAATTTGACAATCATTTTATTTTCATTGACAATTAACTGATTTAGTTTGACAATCAAGACTGATAATTATCAAACATTTGACAAGGTTACAATTTAAATTGTCAATTGAAATGTTTCAAATTTAAACTTTATATTACCAACAATTGACTATAACTAATTAGGTGTTGACAGAAATCACCAGACAAGTTTGAACTAGAGTAATTAGTTAACTATTAGTTAATTTTCACCATTGATTTAGTTTACAAAATTTTGGCGATAATTTAAAAGATTGATAATTAATTGTCATTGAAAATTGATATTGTTCATTGATTGTTACAATGTTACACTTTGAGAAATTTAAATTGTTTGCAAATTTGTTTTATGATTAATAATAATTTCAAATCAATTGATTAAAATAATATGATGATTGTGATTAATGTTTTACGCTTCAATAATGATTTAAATTGTTTACTAATTGTAAATTTATGTATATAAATTGATCCCTTTGATTGATTTGATTGATTTGATTGATACGACTTAGTTAATTGTATCCCAGTTAAAAGTTATCCTTTCGTTATGAGAGACAATTGTTGATCATTTTCTGGATTCAACAATTAACTTAATAATATAATCAATCGAAAGCATTTGCAAAAATGTCTCAATGATCTTTGACAATTTGTAATTGTGTTCAATTTTGATTTTAATTACGAGTTATAATAAATCAGATAGAATGATAATTTCTCTCTATCAAATGAAACTTCTGGAATATAAATTTACCGTTAGAACTTTTTGTCTCGAAAAAGTAAATTCGAGTTTTTTCCTCATGAAATTTGACTGAGATTTTGAATTTTCAACACTTACCTGGTCGTTTTTTACATTGATCAGGAACTGTTGTTGAACATGAAGGAGATTGATGTAGTAGTGGAGTTGTTGTTGATGGACTACCTGACCCACCACCTCCCCCGTTACCACCTCCATTTGAATCAAGGTGATGGGGAGGTAATCGAGTTAAATTTGAGTTTAATTGTGACACTGAAGAAGAAGCTGCAGCTACGGCTGCTGCTGCGGCGGCGGAAACATTTTGAGGGAAACCGGGAGTTGGGTGAGTGTAAAAATGTGGATGATGAGTTGATGGGGTTGAGGTAATGGTGGAGGGTGAAGGTGCCCCAGAAATTGATGAGAAAAGTGATGAAACATGATGAGCACTAGGATAATGAATAGATTGGGCTGATGATAAAGTCCGAGGATGATGATGATGGTGAGTATGATGAGGATGGTGTGGACCAACTGAGCCAGAATTACCACCATTTCCTCCTCCACCCAGACCACCTCCACCACCACCATTACCAGTTAAACCGGAAGGTGGTGAATTGATGGCATTAACAGTTGAATGGAGGGCGTGTTGCATTGTAACCAATTGGTGGTGATGTTGATGTTGTGTTGAATGAAGGGAGTGGTGATGAACTGTTGTTGGTGAAGGTACAAGTTGATGTTGTTGTTGTTGCTGTTGTTGTTGTTGTTGTTGATGATGATGTTGAAGCTGAAGATGTACTTGATGTTGATGGTGTTGTTGTTGTTGTTGTTGTTGATGTTGCTGTTGCTGTTGTTGTTGCTGCTGATGAAGTTGATGCTGATGATAAGATATTAGTTGCTGATGAGGATGAGTTAATCCTACACCTGACACTGAAGGGGTTGAAGATGATCCCGTTGTAGTGTTTGAGGTTTGGTGATGAAGATGATCACTCAGATTTCCTGTTGGAGTCACTGATGGTGATAATGTTGAGCTTTGACCTTGTGCCTGTTGGGCTGAACTTTCAACTGAAGATGAAGCTGCAAGTGATGCAAGTAAAGTTGTGGTTGAAGATGAGGATGAAGAGGAAGATGAAGAAGCTGATACTGACACTGGAGAAGCTGAAGATGCTGTTGTCGATGAAGATGATGAAGAAGATGATGTATTCTGATGAACTCCTTGGGATGATGAGGATGACGATGATTGTGATGGACCAACTAAATCTTGTAAACACAATGGATCCGATGAAAGGGAATCCATTTATCAATAGCAGCAACTAATGAAATAACGGTTTTCTTGTTTCTCTTCCTCCTTCTGATGATATTTATTACTCTGATGATGATAAATATGTTGATAAAAACAACAACAATTAACAGGGTAAACTTTAAAGACTCTGGAAAAGAAATCAAATGAATGAAACAAATTGAATAACTTTCAAGTAAAAGCAAAGAAAAAAAAATGTAAACAAACAAAAAGGTGTAACAATTGAAAACCTTTAACTGTAAACTTTTAACAATTAACTAATCACTTGACTCTTAAATTGTGTTATGTTACAATTTTTCATTGTCAAGAGATGATGATTAAGATGATGACTCGGATATATTGTTACTATTAGATAGTTGGGTGTGAAAAAAGGTAACAAATCTAATCTAAGGTGATGATAATGAAGAGCAGAAAGAGGAGGAAGATGAAGATGAAGATGAGGATGAGGATGAGGATGTAAAGGTAACGTTAATTGACTTTTATCTAGTTAAATGAGAAGACGGTTGATGTGTGGGGGTGGAAAGTGGGAGTGATAAAGATACAAGAAGAAGATGATCTTACCTCATGACAGTGTTTTCGTTTCCAAAGGGATGAAGATGATGACAAAAGGATTAAGATGAAGAAAAAAACAAAGAGACAATGAAGATGAAACTTTGGCTCTCTCACTCTCTCAGTCTCACTTGCTGATATCGTTGGTCGATGTTGTTTATTTGTTTGTTATTACCTTTTTTTTTGTGTTTCCTTTACTTTATTATTGTTTGTAATGAATAAAAGTCTAGGAAGAAAAAATAAAAGTCCAAAAGAGAGAAAAAGAAAGAGGAGAGAGAGAGAGAAATTTACTGCTCATCCTCATCCTCATCATCTCTTTTTTCTCTTTCTTTTCTTTCTCTCTCTTGATAATCAAATAATTTGGTTTTCTCTTGTTATTGGTTAATTGTTAGTTCGACTGGTGGAGTCTCCATTTGATTCAAACTTTTTCATTGGTTCGTATTCACTTTTTGTTTACTCCCATAAAATGGGAGTGACTCTCTTTTATTTCATCAGTTCTCATCATCTTCATCTTCATCTTCATCTTCATCATCTTTTTTTCTTTCTTTTCTGATTGACTTTGTTTCTTTTTTGCTTCCTTACATCAATTTCATCCATTTTCATCATTCTAACAGTATCTCCCTGCTCTCTCTCTCAATGGTATATCTATGAGCTTTTTTGCTTTAAAAGGGAGCAAGATGATGATGATGATGAAGAAAAGTAAGAAATTAAATTGCCTCTGTAAGTTTCATCTTCTTTTTTGTTTGATTTTCTCTCTCTCTCTCTCTCTCTCTCTCTCTCTCTCTCTCTCTCGCCTTGTTTCCAGGGAAAATGTTATTCAGAGTGATTCTGATTATTATGAACAAATGACATCAAATATCATCTTTATCATTAGCATCCTCATCATCATCTTATTATTACGTCAATTAAGATGATGTAAGTTTATTATTAGTTTTTTCATCATCTCATTTGATTTGATTTGATTTGATTTTTGGAATGGAAAAAAACATTTTCATTAAAATCTTTCCCTTGCTCATGAAGATTAACATGATCTTTATATTGAATTGAATTGAAATGCAGTTTTATTATCATGTGTTTATCTAACTTATTGGTCAGTGTGTTGATTAGATTTCAGTGGAATTGAAAAAAAGAAAAATTTTAAAATCAAATCAATTGATTATCCACCTTGAATAATCAAACTCAGTTTCAATCTTAAGATATTTTCACACCACGAATAATAAATCTGATAGATTCTCATTCTTGAAATGATTAATGGAAACTTTAAATTGTGATCATTTAAATGTTGGTATAGGCTTTTGATTATCATTGTTTCACACCCAAGGATATCATCTTTATGATGATAAACATTATCACCTTCAAATTTTCATGATGATATTCAACTATTTAAATTTTAAGGTTGTATGAGTTTTAGATTAACTTTTTAAATTGTGCTTCTGAATGACAAATGATTCCTCTAAATTGTAATAGCTTTTTGGTATCATCAACATCATTATGTAATCACCATTGGAAACAATTTATCATTCATTTCAACCTCCACCTTTAGATGTACATAAAGTTATCAAGGAAAAACTTTCCTATTCATAGTTAATGATGAAATTGTAACTGTCATGGTGAATCTTGTATGTTCATGTCTCTATTGATTATTACTCTGGTTTATATTTAGTTTGACTTGATCAGTATTTCATTTTGTTTCCCTGTTCATTTGGTTGCATGTTAATAGCTCATTGTTTGGTAATTTAAGGTAATTTAAAAGCTGTTAGTTGAGCAATTAACGCCTTGACCTGGTCACGAAATTATTACCCAAAGGTGTGTAAAAGTAATACAAGGTAAGGGAAATAAAGTGAAGAGTAATTTAGTTGATTGTGTTGTTGTTGTTGTTGATCATCAATGAGGCGGATGAGGAGGTGGAGATGATTTTGATCACTTTATATATGCAAAGTCCATTGGTAAAGGTCAGCAAAGGGGAGGGACTGGTCATCACATTTCTGTTCAACAATCTACTCCTTTTGGACAATAATCATCATCGAAAATTATATAAATTTATCATCTGCCTAATAAATTGTGATACTGATTCTTTATGATTAGATTTTCATTATAATTGTTAATTGTTTTGATTCTTTTATCAATTGGATTGAAAGTTCAATTAAATTTTCTAATTTTCTTTTGAGTTTGTTTGGAAATTGTCTTTATCAATAATCAAGTTAATTCTCTGAGGGAATTACAATTTTCTGATGATTGATTGTGTTGTGATTAAATTAATTATTCCAATTAAATTGTTGTTTCATTTTGATTCTTTCATAGGGAAAGAGTCGCCATCTATTGGGGTTTTTGCTTCGCTTATTTAATTGTGTTAAATTAAATTGTAACTATTTTGTTTATGGTCGAAATTGTTTACAATTTGAAAAAAACTATGGCCCATTGATTGTGTGTTATGGTCAGTTTAGGATTCTTGGTCATTTCCGCACTCGAATCTAACGAAATCTATTATTTGAAGACCTTGATTTTCGCAAAAATCGGCAACACTTAAACTCGAGTCAATTATCGTCTTCTGATCCAATAGATAATCATTATCTTCGGGAATCTTGTATCCTTCTTCGGTTAATTTTTTCTCTTTCTAATTGCTCGGGTGATTTCTTAAGGTAAACTGGACTCATTCCGATGATTTGTTGGCACAAAATTTTACCAACATTGTCAATTGTATATTCAATTTGCTCTTCAACAAATTCGATGTCCAATTCTTGATTGTCAATCTCTTCATCGGTCAATTGTTTTTCTGATTTTTCAGCTCCTTCTTTTGGATGATCAATTTCTGGTGAAGTTTTAATTTCTTTCACTGGTTCAGGTTCGGTGGGTTTGTTGATTGTTTCTTTCCTCTCTTCATCAGGTAATTGACGTACGACAACAATTGAACCATATTTACCCAATTGAACACCATTAATATCAGCAATGTATTCACCTGAAGCATGGGCATGTCCAAAAAGTGATAAATCATTTCTAATCGGTTCATTTAAATGTAAAATTAAAGCTTTTGAAAGTTTTATATTCTCGCCTAATTTGGATATTGCTTGTGAAATTTGATCATTGAGAAAATTTAAATCTTCTGATGTGTAGATGAGCTTGGTAACTAATTCATTTTTAGTGGTTGATGATGGTGCTGATTTGGATTGAGTTGATGGTGAAAAAAGATCCGAAGTTAACTGGGCAATTAATTGTTTGAAACTTGAATTACGAGCGACAAAATCAGTTTCACAATTAACTTCTAACAGGGCACATCTTTTAGCTTCTTTATCCATCAAAAGACCAACTAACCCTTGGGCAGCTCGACGAGACTATTGTAAAGAAAAAATAACATACAATTAGATTAGAAAATTAGCAATTTAACAAATGCCGAAAATCAAATCAACAAAACAAATTACCTTTAATTTTGCAGCTTTTGCATATCCATGTTTAATACTTTCCTCCTTTAAATAAGCCGTTGCAGCTTCAATGTCATTATTATGTAGTTCCAATGCTTTCTTGCATAATGTAAATGCCAACCTAAATTCAAAGAGAAAAAAAGATTTAAATCAATACAAAATCAATTCGAAACGTTGAAAGAATTAAAAGAAAATTAATAAACCGCTTACCCTGTTTTCTTACGGAGTTTGGCAAGATTAGATTCTGGGACAGGAGTCGAAGAGAAAGAAGCAACTCTCAAACCAAATCGACTAGATGAGGCTGGTAAAAGGTTCGAAATGGAAAAATTAATTCTACAAATCATAATTAAACCAAAAGGAACCAAATTAAAACCAATCAAAAACAAAACCTCATGTAAACACAACAATTAAAGTATCGAATCCAAAATATCCGATCTTTCCGATATTTGAATATTCAAATCTTCGTAAAGGATAAAAGTTGAATTTCCTAAAGAAACTGAGATAATTTATGTAACATTTTATATCGTAAATTAACTTGCATGAGTGAATTAACTGATTGGTGAAATTAGCTGGAGAAAATTAATTGAAATTGTGCTGGAAAATTGGAAAAGAAAATGAGAAAATAAGAAGCGGGAAATTTGAAATTCGGTTACCATGGAAACTCTTTTTTCGCTCATTCAAAGTAACCGCTTTTCGTTGTTGAGAGAAACAAACAACCGACTCGTTCCCAGCGACACCTTTAGGTTAAGTTTGAAATTGGAATGAGAAAAGTTAATCATTTGATTTCGGAATCTCCAACGAAACGTTTGTTTGTTTTGTCTACTGTTTTTATATTCACAAAGAGAATAGAAAAACTTTTCCAACTAATTTATTGTTCTTTTTATTTTGTTACATTCAAAGTGTTTCCAATGTGAATTTGAATAACATCTCATCCTAATTATTCTCAGTGTTGTACAATTATAATAATGTGATTCAAGGGAACACATCAACTGTAATTAACTTTCACTTTTTCTTTTCGTACAAAGTTCAACGTCTAATTTTCACCAATGGAAACTTTTTCATCTTCTCAACAGGTAAATTTATCTTTTACTCTTTTTACTCTTTTTTCTCTCTCATTATTCTCCCACCCAAACTATTTACCTTTAATCATTTGGACTCTCAAATTCAGTTGATAGAAAGAAATCAAGAAGAAGAAGAAAAAATCAAATTAAATCACGAATTTGTTGATATATATTAATGATTTTCCAACTTGTTCTTGACGATCCAATAAATGTCAGTTAATTTCCCTCTCTGATCAAATTCAATGGTCAATTGTTTACCAATCAATTCACCTCTAATCGTGACTAAATCACAACAATAAACATGATTAGAGAAACAAAAAAAAAGGTAAATTGTTACAATAATGTTATTGGTAATTTCTCATGATAAAATTAACAATTTTCATGGTAAAAGTTTTTTCTTAATGAAAAACCATCACAAATTCATGAATATTTGTTGATTTTTCTGAATTAATTTCTGATCAACTTTAGGTAGAATTTATCACGATTAAGATTTACAATTCTTTTGATGAGAGAATTGATTGAGAAATTTAATGAACAAATGAAGCAAAAAAATCTTCATCATCTTAATCATCTCATTTGTTTTCCTTTTCTTTTCATCTTTTCTTTTTCAATCTAATTGACTTCGTCTCCATCGGCGGTCAGTTCTTCATTGTCAATCTATGGTCACTTTCTAACATTCATTAACATCGGCAGGAGATGGAGAGAGAGAGAAAGTGATAGAGTAGGTTGCAAGGAGTTCATCTTCCACTCCCATTCCTCCTCCTCATCTTTCACTCTCTCCATCTTAATATAATAATAATTGAATATGGAAAAGATGAAGATAAACTTTTCTCTTTCAGTTATAAATATGTAAACATAATATGAAACTTGATTTTTAACTCACGCAGAAATCAAGAGACATTTTCATCTTAATCGTTTACCTTTTTTTTTATCTTCATCATCATCATCTCTCTCTTGCAAAGTTTTTCCTTTCTTTTCTTTACTTTTTCGTTTTACACTCCGCTCATATACCTTTAGGGCAATAACATTACCATCATTCATCATCACCACATCCTATGTGTGTGTCCAATGTATGATATTACAATGCTAATTGTAACAATCCAACAACAACAATCTAATAATAATTGTTAATTGTAATTGATCAACCCAAGTGAGAGTGTAAATCTAGAAAAAATAGTTACATTGGAAAAGTTTAAGTGTTACAATTGCAAATACATTTGTTATCCTTTGCGATTACAACTTAATATCTAATTGTTATTACAGTCATGCCTTTCCGAGATAAATATCAAGGTAAATGTTAAAATTGATGTGGATATAATGATATAATGAGAGAGAGAGAATGAGAGTGAGTGAGAGATGAAGATAAAGGAAGTAAGATAAATGATGATGAAGATATTGACCATTTGATTTTTTTTTCTTCCATTTTCAATTGGTCAAACGAATCCAATTCAATTAGGATACTGAATATGCAGACTTGTGATTGTATCTTCAATTGACAGACTAAATCGATCGGAACAAATCAAAATCACAGAGGGAAAAGGTTAACAAGACTAACTAACTACTGAATCTTATTGAGTATATTCTGTGGATAGAGAGTTGAAGTAGAGAAACAAAAAAAAATCCTTCACAAAACATGTTATTCACTCATAGAGATTGATCTTAAAGCTTTTCGAACAGAACTTTTCTTTTTAGAACATTTATCCTTCCCTATCCATCCTCAATCTCTCTCTCTCTCTCTCTCTTCTTTGTTATGATAATATATTCATCGATTGAACAACAATCAGAAAGATGGATTACTCTGAATGAAGAGCGAGAGATGATATTAACTCTTGAATTAAGATGATGAAGATGACGATAGGCATCTTATCAATGAGAGAGAGAGAGAGAGAGAAATTCCATCAACATCCTCATCATCATTTGTCAATAGTAAATGTAATTTATACAGAATATCTCATCCTTAGATCTCCATCCTTGTTATCATCAAATTGTCTTGTTTGCTTTTATTTATATTTAGATATCAGAATAATCATTTGTGAAATTGAACTGACCCAATGAAAAAAAAACTAACATCAAATGACCAACAGAAAGACAAATAAACAAATCATTTGATTTCATCTTTCTATTACTTTCTTTTTGTATGTCAAGTTGTAATTTGTTGTTTTTTACTTCAAGTTTACACGTTAATCAATTACAATTAACCTAAATTTAGTTAGACAAACATATTAATTGTCAAAAAAAGTAGTAATAACAATTTACTATTGGATTTATGAAAGGAAACCTTTTTTTCATATTTACTTTCATAATCAACATGAATCCCACCGCCTTGTGTATTTGACTAAGGGTAAAAGTCAATCATGTTAATTAATTGCTCATGTTTTGATTGTTGCTCATTTTTATCCCTCTACTCTTGCAGCTAATTAGATTTAATTGACTTCTTTACCAAAAAAAAAAGTAATAATAATAAATATTTTTCATCAATAAACATGAGGGATGAGGATAAATCAACATATAGAGATGCGTGAGTTAAGTCAATTGCAATTAGTAAACTAACTACAAATATAATGATAATAATTAGAGATAAATTAATAATAAACAGATTCAATTGTATTATAAGAGCAGCAAAAATTACGTTTATTATTAATACAAAGATGATGATTATCATTGAATTTGCTTAAATAATTAACTGGATAATTGTTACGGTGAGAAAGTGAAAAGTATGATTTAATTTAATTGTGATAGTAAATATAATTGATTTGGTTTACTATTAATATATACTAATTCAATTAGACTGTCACACTTAAAATAATACTAATTGTTTACGAGATGTAAATGTAAATATTGATTTGATATTATTTTGTTGTTTGTTTGCATGTAACAATTAACAATCGTGAGATATAAAGTTGACAATTAAATTTGATTCAGTTACAGTTTATTAACGTAAATGTATCCACCATGTACATGTTATAATAAAAATTAATCTTAATCCTTTATTTTGGTTGTAAGTAATAAGTATATTGATGATAATCATTAATTGTGATCACAATTTAGGTCAAACAAAAGTAATGAAAGATTTCACTGTTTGATTGCTGTAAACAATATACTACATCTCATAGTATGATAGACATTGGGTTATTATCAGTTCATTGATAACAATAAACATGATAATAGTTTTGTTTTTTTATGCCTTAGGCTATTTAAGAGGGTGGGGTTGTTTGTGTGTGTAAGTGAGTGAAGTCTATGGAGAGAGAGAGATGGAAAATTGGTCAAAGAGAAACAACAAAATCAACTATATATATACACTTTGAAACATTGGGAATATTTAAGATGATGAGAAGGAAGAAGAGGAAGAGGAAGACAGAATGAGAGAGTGAGAGAGAGAGTGAGGTAAAGGTAAGGAGTGGTCAGAAGGAGGTAGTAAAAAAAATCGTAACTTTGGAGTTCGAAATTGTTTCTTTTTTACCTGTACGAGTTAATGGTATCTCTATCATATAACAAAAGAGGAAGAAGTTGAGATGAAGATAATGATGATGATGATGATGAGCATAAAGGTGGAAAAGATGATAAGGTATAAAGATGATGATTGCAACGATAATGAGAATGTTTTTCTATCCTCATCTCTTTGTTTCCCCTCCTTCTGTGGGTTTTGTTACCGTACATAATTAGAGTAACTATTTTTTTTTTCATCTTCTTACCTGAGATTTGTATTGTTACCTTTGATTTATAATACAAATGATTGTTTCTTCATTTCAAATGAAAGGTATTGAGTTAACAACAATGTTCATATACTAACATTTAGATGGTGATGATCACTTTCACTTTTATATATGAATATTACCATGATAAGATATATTAAATTAACAATGATTATCAAGACTATAATAGTTATTGGTTAGTAAATATTAATCATTAAATCAGGTTAATCATGTTTCATAATCAATTCTAATCGTAATCATTTTTCATTCAAAGTTTTCCTTTGTTTTTTTTTGTGTATTAATAGTTTTCATGTCAATTGTTTGATTTTATTGTGTTGATGATGATAAATTTTGTTTTCCTCCATCATCATCATAAATTATCTTCATCATCTTAAATTACTATGGCCTTTAATTGCCTCTTGACTCCCACTCGATGCTTGAGATATGTGAGAGTGAGTGAGAGAGAGAAAGATGAGAAAAAAAAGAGAGAATGAGAGAGAGAGAGAGAAAGAGAGAAATCAAAACAAAAGGTAAATAACTTTTCATTGTAAACATTGTAAAGAGGCAACGAAATAAGGAAGAGAGGGTGATAAGGGTGGGGTAAGGTGATCGGTGGGGTGAATTCTAAGGTGGTAAATGACAGGAAAATCTTTTTCCATCATGATTAATATTATTTATTGTCTATTAATCCTCTGAAAAAAAAAGATTTACTCTTATTATTGTCTAATCAATGATTATTTTCCTGTTTCTCATTGATTACATGATAATCTTATTAATCAAATGATAACAGAAAAAAATTGTCATATGATTTTTTGTTGACAGTAAATTTCATATCAATACGATCAAATAAATATTATAAGGAGAAGACAAAGTTTCATGATCGTGTTTACATTTAATCAATAGTATACACCTTGATTGTTATTGATATTTAATTTCTGTCGTTAATCCGAAATGTGAATCCTCTTGTCACCATTTGATTGTCCAAATATAAAAACTGAAACCAAGGAATACGAATCAATTGTGATCTTTACTCCTTGATATTAGTTATTTATCCTTGAAAAACAATAAAACAATCGAGATGAGGAAGATGAATTAATAGAGACAGAGATGAAGATGAAGATGAATATGATGATAAATATGAGATTCAGGTTAAAGGTTTAAGGAGACACTTAAGTTATTATATTAATATTAATGTGAAGATGAAAACAAAAGCTAATCATCTTTATCATCATCATATTCATTGTTGATATCTAAATATTATTAATAACAATGAGAATAACAAGTTTTCCCGCCTTTTTTTTCTTTTGATTCGAAATCAGT